ACAGAGTGTCTTAGGTTAAGATTTGGAAACCAAAGAATGCATAATTAGGAGTGTACCATGTCATGCAAATCTATGAAATACTAGATAAGATAAAGCAGTGACTCATTTAAAGCACAATGAGAAAATTTTCCTATCATATTGTTATTTTCATCACTGGAACAACAGTTGTTTTGTATTATTCCTAAAGTAAACAGTTTATGAGTAAACACTGAAAATTAGAATTGTGTCAATACACAGCAAATGGTAGACTAAACATCCATTATCCACAAAATCATTTGAAACTGCTACAGTGGATTTGAGAGGAAAACCAAAAGTTTGCAAACCTCTCTGGAAGCTGTCTCACAGCACTATTCTTAAAGCCCTCGCCGTACAAAGTCCGCAAATAAGTAACATACAGATAAAACGGGAGGAGCCCACATCAGCTGAAAGTATGATACTTCCTTATGCCTTCAGTTTAATAATACTGTTAATACCATGATAAAAGCTGTACAATAACCAAACAATGTAAACATATCGTTAGAGAGCAGGAGAGGATGGGTTTTATTGTATCTAAAACAGTAAGTTTGTTTTCCCTGTTACCTCTTTTCAACCATGGGTACTGCTCCATATTGTTCTATGGAGGGTTAATGCATTTTAAAACAGTAAGCCAAATCTGTGGCTCATTAATCTAATTTACCCTAATTTTACACACAAAATATGTTTTCATTAAAATATGCTCCAAAGGGATAATAAGATGGCCTAATGCTATCTTGACAAATGGCATAATGAAAAACAGCTAAATTAATGTGAATGAGTAGAAAACAGGCCAACAGAAAAGGTCCCATTTGTAAGAGCAACTTCCTAAAGCTAGATATATAGGATTGATGGTTTTAAACATAAATGTTTGATTCTTTGGAAGTTTGCAAATAAAAGATATCATGAAAGCCAACTAACATAGCAGCTTTGTTCATCTCCACCTTGAGTAATCCATAACTTTTTTTTGTTTGTTTTTTTTGTTTTTTTTTTTTGAGACAGAGTCTCACTTTGTTGCCCAGGCTAGAGTAAGTGCCGTAGCGTTAACCTAGCTCACAGCAACCTCAAACTCCTTGGCTCAAGCGATCCTTCTCCCTCAGCCTCCCAAGTAGCTGGGACTACAGGCATGCGCCACCATGCCCGGCTAATTTTTTGTATCTATATTTTTAGTTGGCCAATTAATTTATTTCTATTTTTAGTAGAGACAGGGTCTCGCTCTTGCTTAGACTGGTCTTGAACTCCTGACCTCCAGCAATCCTCCTGCCTCGGCCTCCCAGAGTGCTAGGATTACATAGGCGTGAGCCACCATGCCCGGTCTGAGAAATCTACTTAAGTTGAGTAGTGACACTAAATAGCATTCCTGTCTAGGAGAGATGAGCAGCAATATTTATGGTCAATTCCTAGAATTGTGGGTCTGATATGCTTTTTAAAGATCCCAAACTAATTAGGATCAGTAGCCACTTAGTCCTTGCCCAGAGGGTAAACTAATCCCTTATTACTACTTAATTTCTGTTTCTTTTCAACTGCAAAAGGAAAAATTATTTTTTAGAGTATAAAGACCACAGCAAAACTTACTTGGTACAAACAATGTCTTAATTACATTTGCTCTAATTTGTTGTTTTACTCAATGATACCAAATGTATCATTATACTCTAAAAAGTCTAATTCCATTTCTTTTTTTATTTTATTTTTTTTGAGACAGAGTCTCGCTTTGTTGCCCTGGCTCTATAGAGTGAGTACCGCGGCGTCAGCCTAGCTCACAGCAACCTCAAACTCCTGGGCTCAAGCAATCCTGCTGCCTCAGCCTCCCGAGTAGCTGGGACTACAGGCATGTGCCACCATGCCCGGCTAATTTTTTCTATATATATTAGTTGGCCAATTAATTTCTTTCTATTTATAGTAGAGACGGGGTCTCGCTCTTGCTCAGGCTGGTTTCGAACTCCTGACCTGGAGCAATCCGCCCGCCTAGGCCTCCCAGGGTGCTAGGATTACAGGTGTGAGCCACCGTGCACGGCCTCCATTTCCTTTTTTTAAAAAATTTTTATTTACTTGTTTTTTGAGACACGGTCTCACTCTGTCGCCTGGCTAGAATGCAGTGGCATCATGATAGTTCACTGCAATCTCAAACTCCTGGGCTCAAGAGATCCTTCTGCCACAGCCTCCCAAGTAGCTAGAACTTCAGGCAACAGCTACCACACCTGGCTAATCTTCCTATTTTTTCATAGAGAAGGGGGTCTTGCTCTTTCTCACGCTGGTCTTGAACTCCTGACCTCAAGGGAGCCTCCTGCCTTGGCCTTCCAAAGTAGCAGGATAACAGTCATGAGCCAATGTCCTGGCCTAACTCCATTTCCTTTAGAAGATCTAAACTGTTACTTGTGGACTGATCTGGTGATGTTTTATAATATCTGAGCACACCAATAATTTGAGCAATGAGTGGTTCAACCCTAGTCTAAATTGTGCTTGAAACAGCACCTCTAAGCCACTGAAAAGTAACCCTTGAAGGCACCAAGAACTGTTACATTCTAGTCTACAACTACAAAAGGGAGGCCTCATAGATTCTAACTAGAGAGTGGCCAATTATGCCTCAAATTTTCAATATATACAACTACTATATTTTAGTCAGATTCAAGACCTTACAGACAATTCTGTGCCTTAATTAAATACACAGTTTTTAAAAATCATCCCAACCACAAAGGCACTACAATTTTTATATATTTGGGATGTGATCAATTGTTTTGCTTTTAAGACTCAGAAGTATCTGGCCATTACTGATGCTTGAAGTAGTAAATTTAAATTTTTTTTTTTTTTTTTTTGAGACAGAGTCTCACTTTGTTGCCCAGGCTAGAGTGAGTGCCGCGGCGTCAGCCTAGCTCACAGCAACCTCAAACTCCTGGGCTTAAGCAATCCTACTGCCTCAGCCTCCCGAGTAGCTGGGACTACAGGCACGTGCCACCATGCCCAGCTAATTTTTATATATATATATATTAGTTGGCCAATTAATTTCTTTCTATTTTTTTTATAGTAGAGACGGGGTCTCGCTAAGGCTGGTTTTGAACTCCTGACCTTGAGCAATCCGCCCACCTCGGCCTCCCAGAGTGCTAGGATTACAAGCGTGAGCTACTGTACCTGGCCAGTAAATTCAAATTTAATTTTAAATATTTTGGAGTCTTCATCTATCAAGAAGTGAATCTGAATAAATAAGGAATTTACTGTTTTCTGTACATTTTTAGCCATTTCTGAAAAATTAGCATTAGCCTATAAGGAACATGCAACTTTTGTCTTGAACAGTATAAAGTAGAAACTTGAAGCTGAACTTCTCAAATAGGCTTTCCCTTTAACTACACTAGATAAAAGACCTGGAAATGGTCAACACACCTAGCAACTTTCATGCTACTGTAGGCCATCTTATTTTCTGAATTTTGCCTCAGACATTAAAATTCAGAAAAAAGGCAAAAAAAATTTTTTTTAAAGAATTTTCTATTTTCTCTGCAATAAACTTAATCTGTGAACATTTATCTTATATATCTATAAAAATTCCTTAAACCAATTGAGTCAGCCTTAACACACAATTTAATGTTTTTTTGGTTTTTTTTTTTTTTTTGAGACAGAGTCTGACTCTGTTGCCTGGCTAGAGTGCGTGGCATCAGCCTAGCTCACAGCAACCTCAAACTCTTGGGCTCAAGCAATCTGCCTCAGCCTCCCGAGTGGCTGGACACAGGCATGCACCACCATGCCTGGCTAATATTTTCTCTATATATTTTTAGTTGCCAGAATTTCTTTTATTTTTAGTAGAGATGGGTCTCACTCTTGCTCAGGCTGGTCTCGAACTCCTGAGCTCAACCGATTCACCCACCTTAGCCTCCCAGAGTGCTAGGATTACAGGCATGAGCCACCACGCCTGGCCTTAATATGGTTTTTAATGGTTCTAAAACACTTATTTCTTTTACTTTAATCAGTTTTCATCCCATTAAGGAACTCCAAAACTTTAAGTCTGATTACTTGTGATATGTGGTATGAAATGTGTGTGTCAAAAATGTTATCAGTGTACTAATGTCCTTTGTAAATTAAATTATAGTGAATAGTCACAATTTAAACTTTCCATTTAAAATCTCTATTGAAAACGTTTTGGCCATCTACGAGAAAACCATAGTATTTGAGATCGTAGATGAACCTTATTCATAAATAATTTTTAAATGGAAATTAAGTTCTTGGTGACTTGCTGTCCTAGTGCAATGATTGATATGATAACTGATTCTTTTTTTTTTTTTTGAGACAGAGTCTCACTTTGTTACCCAGGCTAGAGTGAGTGCGTGGCATCAGCCTAGCTCACAGCAACCTCAAACTCCTAGATCAAGCAAACCTACTGCCTCAGCCTCCCGAGTAGCTGGGACTACAGGCATGCGCCACCATGCTTGGCTAATTTTTTGTATATATATTTTTGGTTGGTCAATGAATCTTCTTATTTTTAGTAGAGATGGGGTCTTACTCAGGCTGGTTTCGACCTCAAGCAATCCGCCGCCTCCGCCTCCCAGAGTGCTAGGATTACAGGCATGAGCCACCATGCCAGGCCAAAAACTGATTCTTTACTATACTGTATCAGGTATCTTAAAGGAAAGGTAATTATCTAAAAAATAATCCCTCAAAATTATTTCCTGTTATGTACTGTAAGTAGAATCATTACAAGTAACCATTTAACAACAGTCTAATTATCTTTTCATTTTTTTTTTTTTTTTGAGACAGAATCTTACTCTGTTGACTGGGCTAGCTTGCCATGGCATCAGCCTAGCTCTCAGCAACCTCAAACTCCTGGGCTCAAGCAATCCTTCTGCCTCAGCCTCCCAAGTAGCTGGGACTACAGGCATGCGCCACCATGCCTGGCTAATTTTTTAAATATATTTTTAGTTGGCCAATTAATTTCTTTCTATTTCTAGTAGAGACAGGGTCTCGCTCTTGCTCAGGCTGGTTTCGAACTCCTGAGCTCAAATGATCCTCCCTCCTTGGCCTCCCAGAGTGTTAGGATTACAGGTGTGAGCCACTGCACCTGGCCTCTCTTTTCATTTTTAACAGTGAGATGAGGACATTCTTCTCCAACATGAACACACTAATAAGATACATGTATTATCAACAAAAGAAAATTTAACTTTTCATGGCAAAATTTACTGTTTCCAATAATATTTGAACTGAGCAGGTTAACACTATGCTGTAGTCTCTATTCCACTGAACAAAAATGACTTGGGAATAGAGGAGAAAGAATGCCAAGTTTTAACTGGAGAAAATTTTTAAAAATTCACATTTTCACAATATAACATGTAGAGTTGGACATCTTTAACACAGAATGGTGCGATATTTTACCATGTGATGCTTGGGGAAATATTTCTAAAGAGTAAACAGCAGTCTGTGTAGGAAGGAGCAGTCCATGCTTCCAGGCATAAATAAGGAGAACAATCTTCTGCTCACTGTGGGCTCCAGAAGGACAGCCTGTCCCATTTTTAAAACTATCCTGTGAAAGCAATTCCCAGTTCCTAAACAATGTTCTCCCTTAATAGTTTTTCTTTCTAATATATTTTTCTGCCAGCCATCCAGGCTGCCAGTGAGTAGCTTCCATGAGGAGTCAACTCTGACTTCCATTCTTTCACAATAAGAAGGACATCTTATAAAAGGTACACAAAGAATAAAGGCATTTTATACAGAAGCAGTATAAAATTTACAACTGAAGCAGAAATCAGGTTAACAGCTTATCTGCAGGTGCAAATTGACTAGAAGAGACTCTGAGATCAGAAAAGTCTGGCCTAAGGGTTCGTGCAAACTTTACCATAAAACTGTAGAATCTCAAATACAGGTAAGTTCAAACACTGAAAGGTGGAAAATTTCCTAAAAGGCAATGATAAAGGAAGAGACCCTTCTTGCCTCATAAGTTAAAAATCACAAGACAAATTAAAGACTGTTCACATGGGCAGTATTGTACATTATTAATCCCAAACTTATGCCTCTTGTCATAGAAACCTCAAAAACATCACAGAGGGTAAGATATTCCAAATGGACCAATCACAAAAAGGATGCCTGTGATTCAATAATCCAATTACTTATGGCTATCAATTTAGTCTGGCCTGGGACTGCTTTTTACAGGGAGGTGGCCTCCCATGGCGCACAATGTGTTTTTCTAAGCTGTCCAGAATGGCCACAGCAATCTGTTGGACGTGGGGATCAGTATGTTCATGATCTTTGATGTTGTATAAATGCTGCAATCCTCCTTCTTCAATCAGCATGCTGCAATATCTTGAAGCTGAAAGAAAACAGGAGAAACAGCTTCTCTTCAAACAATTATCCCCCACAAAAAAATGAGTTCTTAGGAGCTTTTTGTACTCAAATTTTAGCTTTTTTGACTGACGGCTAACATGTTACATCTTAATAAATACCTCTATAATGTTATGTCTACAGTACAAGGCCCTCACATAAGTAATACACATATCCTAAACAAATAAATAAATTGTTCTACCCTCAAGATATATATATATCTGGAAAAGAAAATATTAAAAAGAATCAGAATCATAGAATCTTATCTTTTTTTTTCTTTTTATAAATTTTAATAGAATGAGGGGATGTAAGTTGAATTCCATTACATGTATATATTGTATAGTGGTAAAGTCTGGGCTTTTGTAGAAATCACCCAAATAGTGTACATTATACCCCACAGGTAATTTTTCATCCCTTTGTCCTTCCCACACTCCTCCCATATCTTATCTTTGATTCAAAGTCACAAGTAAGATAAGTACTGTCATACTTTTATGCTTTCTTTTTTAACTTAATGGCACTCATACTGCATATGCAACTTTTTTTTCTTTTTTTTTTTTTTTGAGACAGAGTCTCGCTTGTTGCCCAGGCTAGAGTGAGTGCCGTGGCGTCACCCTAGCTCACAGCAACCTCAAACTCCTGGGCTCAAGCGATCCTACTGCCTCAGCCTCCCGAGTAGCTGGAACTACAGGCATGTGCCACCATGCCCGGCTAATTTTATATATATATATATATCAGTTGGCCAATTAATTTCTTTCTATTTATAGTAGAGACGGGGTCTTGCTCTTGCTCAGGCTGGTTTTGAACTCCTGACCTTGAGCAATCCACCCACCTCGGCCTCCCAGAGTGCTAGGATTACAGGCGTGAGCCACCGCGCCCGGCCTGCACATGCAACTTTTAAAATTTTTAAATATTTTTTTTGCCTTTCATTTTTAAAAATATTTATTCTTTTACATACATATGACTTTTAGGGTTTTTTTTGTTTCAGTCGTTTTTATTAAAGTGTAATTTACACAAAATGAACCATTTTTAATCTATAGCTTGATAAATTTTGCCAAAGGCATATACCTATGTAAACATAAGCACAACCAGGATAGAGAATATTTTCATCAACTAAAAATTTCCTTGTGTACCTTTGCAGTCAATCTCCCCTGTGCCCCCCTCATCCCAGGCAACCACTGTTCCAATTTCTTTCTTTCTTATTTTTTCAGAGACAAGGTCTTGCTCTGTTGCCCCAGCTAGAGTGCAGTGGGGTCATCATAGCTCACTACAACTTCAACCTCCTGGGTTCAAATGATCTTTCTCCCTCAGACTCCTCAGTTGCTGGAATTACAGGTGTGCGCCACCAAACCAGGCTAATTTTTCTATTTTTTGTAGAGAAGGGGTCTTGCTCTTACTCAGGCTGGTCTGGAAATCCTAACCTCAAGCATCCTCCTCCCAATGTGCTAAGATTACAAGTGTGAACACCATACCAAGCCTGCTGTTCCAATTTCTATAATATGGACTACTTTTCCCTAGTCTAGAACTTCATAGAAATGGAATCATATAGTATATATTCTTTTTTTTTTTTTTGAGACAGTCTCACTCTGTTGCCCTGGCTAGAGTGCTGTGGCGTCACCTGCCTAGCTCACAGCAACCTCAAACTCGTGTGCACAAGCAATCCTACTGCCTCAGCCTCCCAATAGCTGGGACTACAGGCATGTGCCACCATGCCCAGCTAATTTTTTCTATATATTTTTAGTTGGTCAATTAATTTCTTTCTATTTTTTAGTAGAGATGGGGTCTTGTTCTTGCTCAGGCTGGTTTTGAACTCCTGACCTTGAGCCATCCTCCCGCCTCAGCCTCCCAGAGTGCTAGGATTACAGGCGTGAGCCACCACGCCTAGCCTAGTATATATTCTTTTGTGTCTACTTTTGCTCAGCATGAGTTACACATCAGCAGTATTAGGTGTTTTTGTTTGTTGGTTATTAAAAGATGGGGTCTTGTTACGTCGCCAAGGCTAGCCTCGAACTCCTAGGCTCAAGTGATTCTCCTGTCTTTTCATCAAAGAACACAAGAAATATTCTCACAAAATGTTACTGCCATCACTATAAATATACTGTTAGAAACAACTCTCACGTCTCGTATATAAGGCACTTTATAATATATCCCCTATTAAGGTTCTATATAAGAAATTTAATTTGTAGTTAACTGCTCATAAAAGCTTTACTTCCCTGCTGCTCCCTGTAGGATGTTTTCCCCCCTTATATGGAGAACCATGTAGCTTACTATTTGCAGCCCAGCCACAAAAGTATATGTATCATTATATATGGCCTATGGACCTACATTATACTATTTTCCCTTTACCTTTTAATTTTCTAAAAATTATTTTTCCTTGGTCCTGATTTTTAATGTAAAAAACTATTAATTTATAATTTATTATGAAAATGGTTCTACATGTTTCTTGTGTCACATCATTTGTGGAATGAGTTTTTTTTTTTTTTTGAGACAGTGTCTTGTTTTGTTGCCCAGGCTAGAGTGAGTTTCATGGCGTTACCCTAGCTCACAGCAACCTCAAACTCCTGGGCTCAAGCAATCCTGCTGCCTCAGCCTCCTGAGTAGCTGGGACTACAGGCATGCGCCACCATGCTCGGCTAAATTTTTCTATATATATTAGTTGGCCAATTAATTTCTTTCTATTTATAGTAGAGACAGGGTCTCGGTCTTCCTCAGGCTGGTTTCGAACTCCTGACCTGGAGCAATCCGCCCGCCTCGGCCTCCCAGAGTGCTAGGATTACAGGTGTGAACCACTGCGCCCGGCCGGAATGAGTTTATATTATTTTTTTTTCTCATTTTCTATTCTTTTTGCTTTCCAATGTATGCCTTCCGTGTAAGAGTTTATATTAATAAATAACTGAAAAAGAGTTATATCATGATCTTTAAAAAAGAATGATATGAAACCTGATTTAAATGTTTTGCTTCTCCAGAGACCATGGGTGCTGAGAGTTACATCTTGAACAGTAGATCTATTTAAGACCTTTTATTCAACAAATGGATTCACTGTAGGCTCTTAATCTTTAAATTCCATGAGGTTAGAACAGTGTCTCATTCACCATTGTTATTCAGTACCTAGTATTTTCAAACTCATTCTGAAAGAACACATTTGGTTCATAACTAAAGATTCTCATGATATCTTTAAAAGGCAATGTCCTTAAAAATCACTTCAACCGTACAATTTAGAAATGGCTTTCCTGTGAAAGGAGAATTTCACTTGAAAAAGGAAACCATAGTTTTCTTTCGTGGTACATACGATTCTTGCTGCAGACATGTTGCATGGCCCAGACTGCCCATAGCTGGACTCCTGGTGTTGTGAAACAGCCAAGTAATGGGAAAAATGGATTAAAGGACCTAAAGTTCAAAAGAAAATATCAAAGTTACATCCCATACTTAACATTACTTTCTAAAGCAGTGATTCTTAAACTTTTTATTTTCAAAACTTCATCCTATTATATCTAGACTAATATAAATGAACTATAGAACACCTTTTCTTTGTCTTAGCCATTTCAGAGAAGATTGCATTCAGACATGTCTCAGTACAGAAGATGAAGGTGACAAGAACACGGTACTAAAAGAGAAAAAAAATTGTTCAAAAGCTATATTTGAAGACTAGTATACTTTGGTTTAGAAACTAAGAAATGGAGAAGTTAGGTGACAACTAACTGGTAGAACACCATGAATTATCCTCTCTATTTCTGTTATAAACAAAAATGCATAAATATAAGTTGGAGAAGTCAAAAACGTTGGGAGTATCAGAATTTATGAACCATACAACAAAAATAAGTTGTAATGAAATTAATTATGTAGCAACCTGAAATATTCCAGGTTATTAATAACTTAGCTATGAAGTCACCTGTCATAAACAGAGTTAGGCATTCACTATGCACTTTCCCCAACTGAATCTGGTGCTACTTCTAGTCCCTTCAGCGTGTCATGTTGTTTTAGACCTCTTTGCATTGATACATTATATTCTCTTCCTAAAATCTCCTACCTTTACTTAATTAGTTTTCAAAACTCAGTTCAGCTCACAACTCACTTCCTCTGGAAGCTTTTTATCATTTTCCAGTGTGGATATAAGCACTTTAACCTTTAATTTCATAATATTCTAGGTATATCTAGCCTAAAGGTGATTCATATCTGATTCACTTTTTTTTTTTTAAAGAGACAGGATCTCATTGTGTTCTCCAAAATAAAAGTGTTAACCAAGGCTGGAGTGCAGTGGTGCCATCATAGCTCACTGTAGCCTCCAACTCCTGGACCCAACAATCTTCCTAACTCAGCCTCCTAAGTATCCACCACATCCAGCCAATTTTTAAAAGTTTTTGTTAGGACAGGGTCTTGCTCAGGCTGGTCTTGAACTCTGGCCTCAAGCGATACTCCTGATCGCTTGGCTTCAAGCGATACTCCTGGCCTCTCAAAGTGCTGGGATTACAGGTGTGAGCTACCGCCCTGGCCTCTGATTCACATTTGATTTCCCTCACTAGGATATAAGATTCTTGTGTGCAGGTACCATATCTTGTTCATCTATGAATTTCAACAGGAGGCCAGGTACAGTGGCTCATGCCTGTCATCCTAGAAATTTGGGAGGCTGAGGCAGGAAGATCCTTGGAGGCCAGGAGTTCAAGACCAGCCTAAGCAGCATAGCAAGACCCCATTTCTACCAAAAATAGAAAAAATTAGCCTGGTATAGTTGTGTGCCCTTGTAGTACCAGCTATGTGGGAGGCTGAGGCAGGAGGATTGCTTGAGCCCAGGAGTTTGATGCTGCAGTGAACTATGACGACACCACTGTACTCTAGCCTAGGCAACAGACTGAGACCTTGTCTTGGGGAAAAAAAGAATTCAAGAGCAAAGAACAAATCCTGGGCACTTGGGCACTTGTCTTCAATAAATGTGGGAGGAAGGAAGGAAGGACATATGATAAATGGCTGACAGACGTCAAAATACTTTGCTTCTTTGAAAGCCATTATTAAGATAGATGCCTGAGAGAAAAATTATGCATCTAGTAGAAATGATCTCCATGCAGGCAAAATGACTAGGTTATTGTTTTACCTGTATGCTACCATCTCACACTCTGGAGTTGGCCATTTCAAAATTGCTGAATGCTGGAAGACATAAGACACACAAGAAAGGATTACAATACTTATTTAGCATTGCATTATTTATTACGTTCTAAGGCTCTAATAGTTTAACTACTATAAATATTGTTTGTCTGTATGCTTCCAGAAAATACCAAGTGACCATGCCAAATCATCCAGAAAACACCAAGTGACCATACCAAATCATCCAGAAGAGAATTCCTCTGGCTACGACTCAATGTCCAAGCTTGTTCACCTCTCGATATTAAATGGGCAATAATTCCAGCTGCAAAGTAACTGACTTCCACTTCAACACTGTGTAGGAGACTACTGATGTGGTCTATGAAATCCTTCCACATTAATTCAGAATGCAATTCTTGTACTTCAGCTATATTGTTCTAGAATAAAAGAAGATATAAAAATTAAGTGAGTACACCTCCATTCCCACCCTGCCTCAGAGATTGGTGGGTGGGTGGTGGGGGGGGGCCTTAAAAACAAAAGAAAAAAAGAAAATTTAAAGTACTATGTAGGGTAAATGGCTAAAAGAACTGTTTTCAGACCCTAGACAATAGGCAATGCAGGAAGGTGAAAGTAAAGTATTTCCCTGAGAGAAAGTATTCAAATGGTACAGTCTCCAGATTGCAGTAAAGGAGAACCTACAGAAAACCTGGTAGTTTTGTTGAGATAGAGATCACATTTTAGGGTGGCCAAGCAGCAAAACTTTGTAGAACAGAGTACTGGAAAGGAAAAAGGCCCACACTCAGAGAGCGAGAGAGTGCACACAACCTGGACAGGGGTCCCTTTAAATCTTTGGCTGAGTAATGATGTGGGATGAAACTACATGAGGCTAGGGAAAGAAATACCAGAATGTGGTACCAAACAAATCCCAAAGTCACTCAGGGCTAGAAAGAGTTCACATTCCCACTAACTAGAGTGAAGAGAACTCATAATAAGCAAAGCATTTGATAGTAGTGGGGCTAAATTATATAATAGCCCTAGGGTAAAATGAACAAGTTTCAAAAGCAGCAACTTGATCTGCAAGTAATTGCACATAAGAAAAAAGTATCAGGCCGGGTGTGGTGGCTCAAGCCTGTAATCCTAGCACTCTGGGAGGCCAAGGTGGGCAGATTGCTCGAGTCAGGAGTTCGAAACCAGCCTGAACAAGAGCGAGACCCCATCTCTACTATAAATAGAAAGAAATTAATTGGCCAACTAATATATATAGAAAATATTAGTCGAGCATGGTGGCGCATGCATGTAGTCCCAGATACTTGGGAGGCTGAGGCAGCAGGATTGCTTGAGCCCAGGAGTTTGAGGTTGCTGTGAGCTAGGCTGACGCCACGGCACTCACTATAGCCAGGGCAACAAAGCGAGACTGTCTAAAAAAAAAAAAAAAGAAAAAAAAAGAAAAAAAGTATCAGATTTTTTTTTTTTTTTTTTTTGAGACAGAGTCTCACTTCATTGCCCTGAGTACAGTGCCATGGTATCAGCCTACCTCACAGCAACCTTAAACTCCTGGGATCAAGTGATCCTCCTGCCTCAGCCTCCTAAATAGCTGAGACTATAGGCATGCACCACGACAACCCCTCCCTTGCTAATTTTTCTACTTTTTTGTAAAGACGGGATCTCAAACTCCTAAGCTCAAGCCATCCTCCTGCTTCAGGCTCCAGGAGTGCTAGGATTACAGGTGTGAGCCACCGTGCCAGGCAGAAAGTATAAAATTCTTTAGAGAAAAATAATAATATCCAGCAATCACCAATGTAAATTTCACAAGGACTTGGCAGTCAGTCAAAAATTACCAGGCATACAAAAGGGTAGGAAAATATGATCCATAACCAGGAGAAACATCAATCAATAGAAAAAGACCCAGAAATGACAGAGATAATAGAATTAGCAGCCAAGGACTTAAAATAGCTATTATATGATTTAGGATGAAAAGAAAAGATAAACATGAAGGAAGAAAATGAATATGTAAGAGAGACCTAAATGTAACTTCTAGAAACAAAAAAAGAACAATATATGAAATGCAAAATATAGCAGATGAGGCCGGGCGCGGTGGCTCACGCTTGTAATCCTAGCACTCTGGGAGGCCAAGGCAGGAGGATTGCTGGAGGTCAGGAGTTCAAGACCAGTCTAAGCAAGAGCAAGACTCTGTCTCTACTAAAAATAGGAAGAAATTAATTGCCCAACTATAGAAAAAATTAGGCAGGCATGGTGGCACAAGCCTGTAGTCTCAGCTACTCGGGAGACTGAGGCAGAAGGATCACTTGAGCCCTGGAGTTTGAGGTTGCCGTGAGCTAGGCGGACGCCATAGCACTCTAGCCCAGGGTCTCAAAAAAATAAAAATAAATAAATGAATAAATAAAATAAAATGGCTTTTACCACAATGGCACTTTGCCTATTGTGGTGATTTAAGTTGACAAAACATCTGATCCTTCATTTTTGTCTCAAAATCCTAGAGGGCTCATCTTAACTTATATCCAATATATTAAGAAAACAATTTTTTTTAGAGATAGGGTCTTGCTATGTTGCCCAGGCTAGTCCTGAATTTTTGGTCTCAAGTGATCCATCCTCCCTCTTGGCCTTCCAAAGTACTGGGTTCATTGGCATGAGCCACCATGCTCAATAAGCAGTCCTTTAAGAAGCCATTAACTATCAAACATAGCATTTAAGAACACTGGTAAGTCAATGCCTTTTTTTTTAAATGAGATCTTTTTTTTCTCAGTACAAAAGTGAAAGATGCTCAGTGTGAAACTTCGTAAAATATCAAAAAATATAAGGAAAAGCATGTATATTTATATTTTTTCTTAAAATGTGGCAAAAAATCTTAATATGTATAATTTTAGAGCCTTTTTAAATTTAATAATTATATTGTATGTATTTTCCAATGTCATTAAGTGTTTGAAAATATCACAGCAGCAACTTTCAATGTATTACCTCAGACAGAAAAAAAATTACAGCTTGAAAACTTAGCAGGAAATGCTTATATCTTACCAAAAGTCCTAGAACTTTCTGCTGAATAGATGATTCAGTTGGAAAAGACTGTAAAAAGAAAGAGAAAATTATAAATATCTAAAGAACCAAGTATAATAAATGCTTAAATAAGTAAATCAATAAATAGCAAAACTGTAAGCTAAATTTCCATTCTAACCTCTAGAACCCTCATGAAGAGTTCTAACCCTTGGTTTTCAATAAAGTGTCTACAAGTGGTTGGGGATTCATCTGTGAGGTTCCAAAGTGCACTCAAGGTAAACTTCAACGTAGTGTCCACTGAATTTTGATTGGTTTTCTGCTTCACTATTTGAAGAAGTTGCTGAAAAAGGAAAACAATTAATTTTTCATTTTTGAATTATTACAATTTGTGGTTGTTAATAACCACAAGTTGATAAGGATTAGTCTCATAGCTTAAAGTATTTCCTGTAAAGGTTCTTATAAGTACAACAAGCAGCACCTTGGATTGGACTGTTCTTCAACAAGAAAAAAGTATAAGATTTTCACAAATACTCCTATATTATTCTGATCATACCTTCAATTTAATCACCTGTAAATAACAAAGGCAAAATGATTAACACTTTTTTTTTTTTTTTTTTTGAGACAGAGTCTCACTCTGTTGCCTGGGCTAGAGTGCCATGGTGTCAGCCTAGCTCACAGCAACCTCCAACTCCGGGACTCAAGCAATCTTTCTCCCTCAGCCTCCTGAGTAGCTGGGACTACAGACATGCGTCACCATGCCTGGCTAATTTTTTCTATATATTTTTAGTTGGCCAATTAATTTCTTTCTATTTTTAGTAGAGATGGGGTCTCACTCTTGCTCAGGTTGGTTTCAAACTCCCGACCTTGAGTGATCTGCCCACCTTCGCCTCCCAGAGTGCTAGGATTTGATTAAAACTTTTGATCAACTATCTTATCCAATCACTCACAACATATACCTCTTTCAGATCCTAGAATTAAAAAGCTGAAGGAGGAGAAAGGGGAATGAAGCTAGCATTTATTAAGGATCAGCAAATTATATCCTATAATATAGTATTATTATCCCCATATTTCAGGAGAGGAAATTGAGTCTGAGAAATATTAACTAATTTGATTATAGTCAACTTAGTAAGAGAAACTATGAATTGGAAGACCTAATTCTACCTAACTCCAAGTTTTCCTTAAAAAACAAAAAAAAGAAAGGAGAAACTACATGCAATGATAAGAGAATTAAAGTCTATATTGGATATAAAAAAGATAATAGCTTTGAATTCCAGTTGCAAATTATTTCTATCATAGCTTTACTCTAAGAAATTTAAGTTTGAAAAGTAAATGTTGGCTGGGTGTAGTGGCTCACGCCTGTAATCCTAGAACTCTGGGAGGCCGAGGCGGGTGGATTGCTCAAGGTCAGGAGTTCGAAACCAGCCTGAGCAAAAGTGAGACCCCATCTCTACCAAAAAACATAAAGAAATTAATTGGCCAACTAAAAATATATAGAAAAAATTAGCCAGGCATGGTGGTGCATGCCTGTAGTCCCAGCTACTCGAGAGGCTGAGACAGAAGGATTGCTTGAGCCCAGGAGTTTGAGGTTGCTGTGAGCTAGGCTGACGTCATGGCACTCTACCTCGGGCAACAGAGTGAGACTTTGTCTTAAAAACAAAAAAAAAGAAAGGTAAATGTTTTAAAAATTATATAAGGCACCTATAATTCCATTTTTAGATTACATTTTGGGGGTAAAAGAAAGCTCTGCTAAAACAGATATAAGAAAATATTAATGAACACTATTACTAAAGATTATACACAATTCAGGAAAAAATTTAAGGAACACAAACATCTAGGTTCAATTAGGTAAGTTAATAGTATAGTGGCTACGAGTATGGCACTAGAAGAAAGCTATCTCAACTTAAATATCATCTCTGTATCTGACTACCTACACAACTTTGTTTACCACTTTTTTTTTTTCCAAGACAGAGTCTCACTCTGTTGCCTGGGCCAGAGAGCTGTGATGTCAGATTAGCTCACAGCAACCTCAAACTCCTGGGCTCAAGCGATCCTACTGCCTCAGCCTCCTGAGTAGCTGGAACTACAGGCATGCACCACCATGCCCGGCTAATTTTTTCTATATATTTTTTAGTTGGCCAATTAATTTCTTTCTACTTGTAGTAGAGACGGGGGTCTCGCTCTTGCTCAGGCTGGTTTCGAACTCCTGACCTTGAGTGATCTGCCTGCCTCGGCCTTCCAGAGTGCTAGGATTACAGGCATGAGCCACTGGCGCCCGGCCTGTTTACCAATTTCATTCTTTGTTTCCTCAACTGTAGATTGCAGGTAAGAGTAGAAAAAAAACTAGCTATAATCATCATCACTACTAATACTAATTCCTATTTAAACTAAGCCCAATTTCCCTCTAAAGCAAGAGTAGACTACTTCCTTAAAATCTGTGAATATAACTCCAGCCAAAATTACTGAGACAGAAGGATTGCTCAGCCCAGGAGTTTGAGGTTGCTGTGAGCTAGGCTGACGCCATGGCACTCTACTCAGGGCGATGGAGTGAGACTCTGTCTCATAAATAAATAAATAAATAAACAAATAAACAAATAAACATCAGAAGATACACAACACTGCCTGAAAACAACAAAAATGAATACTATCTACTGCCCCATATGCAGAACAAAATAGACTTACCCTGACAATGAAAAGCTCAGCACCAAGTTGTGCAGTTTGTTCTGTAGAAAGCTACAAATAAGCATAAAACAAAGTAAATGTCCAAGAACTCACCAGTGTGAGTTCAATATCATTCACTGTAATGGATTCTAAAGGTCAAGCTGCATTATTCTGCAGAATTCTGCATTATTGAATGCAGCTTGAATAAGCAGGCTAATAGAGAGACTTACTAATCTTTCTGGCACACATATTTTGGGGAATGTAATGAGAAACAACTGTGTATAGAAAAATTATTCAGCAAGAATTCAGGTACCTTGGCAGCCAGGATGGAAATGATAGCAACTGCCATCCTTTGCATGTTTTGATCCTCATGGTTGCAGAGCCACTGCATGACAAGCTTGGCTGCTTCAAATCTGAAAACACACAAAGGGTTTCATCAACATATCCTGGAGTCCCAGGCACAGTTTCAGAGCTCCAGCTGGGAACTGATGCTATAGGTGAGAAGGAAAGGCAAAATTCCTCTTAACTCATAGAGAATAACAAGTACACTTAGTGTTTTAAAGATCATGCCAATTATTAATGCTGAGAAAATTTTGTTAAGACAGAAGAGTTTGGAAAATATGATTTAAAATATCTGGCATTTCATCTTCTAGAATTAGAACATATTTCTATATTTCTATTATATATTTCTATACTGTAGTTATAATTTAAATATTTTCTGGGTTCCTCATAGCACCTAGCACAATAAGAACATTCATTTACAAACATTTATTAACCCCCTGCTTTGAGCCAGATATTGTTCTTAGTGTTAGACATAGAGTATTGGAAAAAAAAAAAAAAAAAAACAGAAAAATGTCCCTTTCCCAAAAAGCTTACACTCTAATAAGATAGAAAATAAATTAGATTAATAAGTTAAATATATGGTATGGTTAAGTACTGACATATGCTATAGAGCAAAGAAATAAAGCAGGAAAAGAGAAGATATTAAATGAAATTTTATGTAGGGCAGCTAGGGAAGGCCTCATTGAAGCCTCTTTTTTTTTTTTTTTTTTTTTTGAGACAGGGTCTCCAGTGTCTTGCTCTGTTACCTGGGCATGAGTGCAGTGGCATCATCATAGCTCACTGCATCCTCAAACTCCTGGGCTCAAGTGATCCTCCTTTCTCAGCCTCCTGAGTAGGTAGGACAACAGGCAAGCATCACCACACCAGCTAACTGACTGAAACTTTTGAGGAAGTAAGAGAGCTACCCATGTGGATATCTAGGGGAAAAGCACTCCAGGCTCAAGGAATGGGAAATGCAATGGCACTAAAGTTGGGGTGTGTCTGAAGGTTTCAAGAAATAGCATGGAGGCCAGTAAGGCCAGAGAATAGAGAAGTAGGGGAAGAGTTCTAAGAGATACAGTTAAAGGTAATAGGGGAACCAGATCATACAGTGTCTTAGTAAAGAATCAGCATTTACTCTAAATGAGATGGAAAGACATGGAAGGCTTCTGAGCAGGCATATGATATGAACTGATATATTTTATCACCTCTGTTTAGAATAAACTTCAGGAGGACAAGGACAGAAGTAGGAGAGCAGTTCAGAGGCTACTGCAATAATTCAGAAGAGAAATCACTTTTAATCTAGCCCAAGAGGTAGAAATAGAAGTGAAAAGAAATAATCGAATTCTGGATATATTATGAAGACAGAGCTAGATTTGCCAAAGGACTGAATGTAGGATATGAGATAAGGAGAAAAATCAAGATGACATCAAAGAATACATGATTATCTTACTTATAATCTCATCCTTTAGGACTCAGCTCAAATATAACTTCCTTTGAGGTTTTCTTGTTGAGTTTATCACTGCCTTCTCATCTCCTTAGTGCTTTCTTTCTAACTGTCAAAGATCTGTGATCATTACTATAGACTCACCTGAATCCCCCACTGGCCTGTGAATTCCTTGAGGGAGGGGACCATATCCTATTTAATCCTTTATGCCAACCACTCAATACAATTGACTGACACATAAATAGTGTTTAATACATGTTGGCTAACTGATTATATTGAGGTGGATTACTACTCTGCAACTTTCCTCAAATTTACTATTACCTTCTTTCTATTCCCAAGGCTATCTCTGGATCAGGCCCATTTGGGTGTTCTTCTATAGTAAATTCCTAATTGGCTTCTCTGTCTCTATTGCTTTCCCTTCAATTTGTGCCTGCATATTAGAAATAAATAAAACTGCCAGAGGACATAGGTATGATGTCACTCCTGTACTCACAGCATCCTAGGACTTCAGCTTGGGGTCATGCTTTCAAATCTTTTTTCCCCATCTACCCTATGCTTACTGCCAAGTGGAATGCTCATTAATCCCCTCACATGCCCACAAGTATGAGGTAATATACCCTAGTGGTGGCTGGGTACAGTGCTCATGCATATAATCTTAACACTTTGGGAGGCTGAGGCAGGACAATTGCTTGAACTCATGATTTTGAGACCCGACTGAGCAAGAGCAAGACCCTGTCTCTACTAAAAATAGAAAAATTAGCCATTGTGGTGCACACTTGTAGTCCCAGAGAGGCAGGAGGATTGCCTGAGCCATGGAGTTCGAGATTATAGCAAGCTATGATGACGCCACTGCACTCTACCCAGGGCAACAGAGCAAGACTCTATCTAAAAAAACAAAAAAAAAGCCTAGTGGTGAGGAGTACAGATTCCTGGGTTTGAATTCTAGTTCTACTTAATGTTAATGATAATAATAAAGCAAATTATTTTACCATGTGAAGCAATGCAGTCAAGTCATTAAGAAAATCACACATTTTAGAGTCAGCCTGCATTTAAATATCAGCTCCACCATTTACTGACTTTGGGACCATGGGCAAGTTCCTTAATCTCTCTTAACTTCGATATTCCTATCTGTACAATAACCTGTTAATAACCTATAATAATAACCTATCAATAATCTATTATAACAATAATAACCTATTAATAAAACCTATTCTATAGGCTTGTTATGAGGATTAAATGATATTACATATATGCTTAAGACTTAGCACATGATTTGGCATATAATAATAAGCACTTGATTATTTTTATTAGTATTATAATATTATTAAATTCCTATGTGCCTTTATTCATGCACTTCCTACAACACAAAACGACTCAACCAACTTATATCTTCAAAGCACTATAGCAGGACGGGTGTGGTGGCTCGCACCTGTAATCCTAGCACTCTGAGAGGCTGAGGTAGGTGGATCCTTTGAGCTCAGGAGTTCGAGACCAGCCTGAGCAAGGGTGAGGCCCCGTCTCTACTAAAAATTAAAAGAAATTAGCTGGACAACTAAAGATATATAGAAAAAGTTAGCCGGGCATGGTGGCACATGCCTGTAGTCCCAGCTACTTAGGAGGCTGAGGCAGAAGGATTGCTTGAGCCCAGGAGTTTGAGGTTGCTGTGAGCTAGGCTGATGCCTTGGCACTCTAGCCCAGGCAACAGAGTGAGACTCTGTCTCAAAAAAAAAAAAAAAAAGAAAGAAAGAAAAGCACTATAGCAGGGATATAAAAAGAATAGGCTCTGGAGTCAGTCTGCATCTAAGTCTAGACTTTGCTATATGTTATCTTATTACCTTGAGCAAGTTACTAAACCTTTCTGTACCTCTATTTCCTCACCTGTAAAATGAGGATTACAAGAGTAACAATTTCACGGGATTGTTGAGGACTGAATAAACATATACAAAACACTTTAGCACAGTTACTGGCAATATTAAATGCTTCAAACATATCAGCTTTTTTTAAATTCAATCATTTTTATTTCAATTGTATTTTAAAATCATAAATGGAGTTTTGTAATCCAAAGTTGAAATATTTACTCTTCATAGGTTCAGAATTTGACAAACAATTCCAAATCTAGTCTTCTTTGGAGTGTATGAGGTTTATTTTTATTTATAGAATAGTGAGTCATCTAATTAATTTTGACTGAAAAGATCCAGATTTGAATTGAACTGCAGATTATAAATGTAAAATTCACACAGTGGAAATGAACAGTGAAAAGCATACCATAGATCAAGTACAGAAGTTTTTTTAACAGATATTTCAAAAAATTTACTTAAAAAGTAGGTTTCTCCAGATTTTTGAAAATGATGTCTTGTATGTATATTATTTATCCAAGTTGGATAAGGGTTTGAGGGACGAAGCTGATGTTTGAAGTGAGGAATACGCAATTTTACCTAATGTAACAATAGCATACCTTCAAAAGTATGTGTGAGATAGGTATATACATGGCTATGATTGAAGTGATATATTAGGGCATGACCTTTTCACCCTTACCCTGGAAGGTATATCACGATATATATTCACCCTATGTTTTTTTGGTAGTACACATTCTAGTTCTCTCAAACCGAATTCGATACACTAATATAGTTTGTCAGTTTGTTATCCTTTGGTATATTATTATGTTGTATGGCTTATAATAAGTGGGAGTGGTACGTTTGTACAAGTTACCTGGTTTCTGCATAGAATTCGCCATGTTTCTCCTCACATGCTATTTACCTGGAAAACTCCAATTTTCTTCCCACACATCGTACTCAGAGCAATATGTACCTCGAGGGAATGCTGACCTGGAATTATAATGCCGTTCAAGGAGTCCATATCAGTGCCTCCTCGCGGTTTCTACACCCAATTACAGTTATGACAATATATTCTTAGCGTTTAGTACCTTTAATTCTATTGGCATATGGTGTCATAAATATTAATGTGTGATCTGTATATCTTCTGAAATAGTTTTTGTAAAGTGTTTAGCACACGGTAGCACATAGTCTGAATTCAACAAGAAGATGGTAAACTTAACTGGCTAGTAATAACTAAACTGGTAACACAAGGTAAGTATCACTGGGTCTATGCTTACCGCGGCTGAAAAGCACCAAAGGCAACTACAGAAAGATGAAGACATTTGCTATAGTATTCAAGTCCTGCCCAACTAGAGTTTTGATTTTGGGGTTGCAGCCTGAAATATGCAAGTAGTCAAGAATTTTATGCTGGCGTTCACAAATCTGGCCCTAATCTGGATATCACTGGCCGCCTCCTACTCTGCCCATCCTACACATCAGTCACAAGCAACTTGCCCTTCCTGGAATGCCCTGGCATTCCACATAGGTCCACTGTTTTTCTGATTCCTCCCATGTGAAATCATATCCATTTTCAAGATGTAACTCAGATGTCACTTCCCCTTAAATCTTGTCTGGCACCTTTGTCCATACACCAATTGAGCTATAGAATTAACCATTCTCAAGTTTCTGCGGCAAGTACTCAAATAGCTGAAGAGAATTTACATAATAGCTTACAATATATCCAACTTTCCAACTAATCAGTGAGTTTCCAGGAGCTTTTTAAAAAATTGTTTTAAATGCTTTTTTTTCTTGAGACAAAGTCTCACTCTTG